ACATTGACAAAAGGTAACTTCTAGCATCTAGCATCTAGGAACTGGGAAACGCTAGAGATAGAAACGATAGGTGACCATACTTATATATTCTTCGAAATCAAATTTCCTAAGAACAATAAACAAACAGCAATAGAACTTAAGTGATGGAATATGAGAAGACTAAATGCAACAAAGCTCGAAGGAGCCATAAGGAGTACAGAAGCAGTCCTAAGAACGGCGGAACAAGTCGACCCAGCACTGATTGCAATATGCGATGCGTCAATGCCACCAAAAGTAACAGTGTCTCATAGAAACCCAGCCTACTGGTGGTTCGAGGATATAGCCGAGCTGAGATAATCCTGCTTGGCAGCTAAAAGTACTTACAAAAAATAAGAACGAAAAGAGAAGCCTTTGAGTTCAAAATAAATACGGCAAAAAGGAAATGTTGGAGAGATCTGTGTAATGAACACTTACCATGGAGCATATGCTACAAGTGACGAAGGAGCTGTTTTGGGACCGGATCAGCCTAAATAAAGAGCAAATACCTGATGTTACCACAGAGGAAATAAAGAATGCCGCTCAAAAGCATAAAATCAAAAAAGCTCCAGGACTAAATGGAGTGTCGGCAGAAATCCTAACAGCTGTGGCACAAAAAAGCCCAAATACCCCAAAAACCTTCTTAAATGAAACAATCCAGAGAGCGGATTCCCTTACAATATGGAAAAAGGCTGAGCTCTACTAGAAAATCCAAAGCAAGAAACCAGATCCCAAAGAGCAGTATGTCTCCTAAGCACAACTGCCAAGCTTCTGGATCACAATTATCTTAGAAACACTGACGGACAATTTAAACCAAAATGAGACACTCTCAGCAAGACAAGTTGGAATTAGAAAACATAAGTCGACTGTAAATGCAGTACAGGAAGCTTTAAAACCAGTAAGCTGTATAAAAAATGCCTTTAAAACCAGTAAGCTGTATAAAAATTGCCTCGGCCTCCTGGAAAAATATAGTCACCGAGCTAAAAAGAAAAGCAACCGCACCCTATCTCATTGAAATAATTCAAAGCTACTTAACAATCAAAGCTATCGTGCTGGAGGCCGAAGGAAAAACCGACGAATTTATGATGATTTGTGAGTTTTCACAGGGCTCGGTTTTTGGACCAATCCTCTACAACGGACTGCTAAGAACTAAACAACCAGATGGAGGAGTCGTTCTCATAGGATATACAGACGGTATATCTATGATAATAACGGGTCATAGCACTAGAAAGATACAGTTAAAAATGGAGGCGTCAATGAGATTGACAGAGAGCTGGCTACAGGACAGCGAGCTAGAGCTGACTACAGGATAGCGAGCTAGAACTGACAATGGAAAAAACAAGAATAGTTATACTTTCTTCCAAGAGACAAATTCCGCAAACCACTTTTCGAATATTGAATAAGAAAATTATACCGATTATTCCACTCGTGTGTTAGAAATCCCATAAGACAAGTGACGATTTTCAAAATTACAGCGATAATTCTCCCATGTTATTGTATACATGGTTGTCATACTAATTTTTGATACAAACAAACAGTTGCTATTACCAGCCATTTATTTGTACCAATACAAACAAACGGATCCTGTTAGCAACCATATTTTTTCCTTATTTTTTGCATTTTTATTCGTGAAATAATCCTCTAAATACCACTCGAGCTTTAAAATTTACCAGATAATTTTGAAGCTCTCGTGGTATTATCCCCGAACAGCGCAGTTAAGTATTTAGGCGTCTGGATAGACAATAAAATAACTTTCAATGACCATGTGAAAAAAGCTGCTGCAAGGGCCGGAAGCACCATGATGGACCTTGAAAGGCTTATGCCCAACATCGGCGACTCTCAAGCAGTAAAGAGAAGACTGCTGTGCTCTGTCCTTAACTCAATAGTACCTGGCATGGCGCCATGAAGTCAAAAAAAAAAGGAAAACATAGGAGAGACTGCAAAGACTCTGCAATAAGGATAATCAGCAGCTTCTGCACGGTTTCCACTGACGCCCTGATAGTGAAAGATTAGACACCTACTATCGACCTCATTGTCAGGGATAGGATTGAAGTTTACACATCAGCCAACGCAAAAAGACCAATAGCTCCCAGAGAGGTTACTGTCTCAGAGAACTCATGGAGAGATGACATGACGGCCAGATTAATACCCAACATTGAACTATGGCTGAAAAGGAAGCATGGAGAAACCAATTTCTTTCTTACCCAGTTCCTATTTGGACATGGGAGCTATAGAGTGTATACGCATGAAATATGCAAGAGCCAAGACAACGAGTGTATTTATGTCGAAATGCAAAGAGTAAACAGTCATATCTTCCAGTGAAAATAAAATTCGCGAAGAGTTTTTGAAGTGAAATTTTTTAGACGGAGATCTGATATTCGGACGAGAATGGAGAGTAATTTGAAAGACGCGTCACGTAACGTCACGTTTTGACTAATTTCGTTACACGAGAGAGAAGAAAAATATAACGCAAAGAGACGGAGAAAGACAAGGACACAATGACAGGCGACGAACGATTGACACAAACCAAGGATTATAAGCACAGAGGATTGCCTATTATTGTCAAGCTCCGATACCCTTGTGACGTCAGTACAGATGCGCGTCTTCCTTTTGTGTGGTCCTCCGTCTTTAACCCGACTCATACGCTAAGTCTAAAAGTTGTTTGAGGAGAGGATAGCTTTTGAAGTAAAACTTCTTAGGCGGCGGTCTAATATTTGGCCGAGAATGGCGAGTGATTTGAAAGACGCGTCACGTTAAGGCCCATTTCGTTACACGAGAGAGAAAATAAAATAAAATAATGTAGAGAGAAGAAGAGAGAGCTATATCTAGAACACAGACCTTCGTTGCAAGACAGAGTGGAGAGATTTAACGTAGAGAGCAAGAAAAAGAGAGCTATAGCTTTTATACATACAGGTTGTTTCATGAACATCGAAACAGAAGCGTTTTAGGGTGTTTTAAGGTCGATTTAAAAAAAAAAAACGCTCGGACACGTCATTTTTGTATTCAAGGGGGAAACTTTTTGACCCCATTGGTATTTCGCTAGTGTGCACCCCCTGGGTGGAGTGACTCATCCCTGTTTTTTAGATAGGGAAGATGGGCCGAGTAGTACCTTGTTACAAAGGTATTTTGATTCTCGTCACAACTGCTTATTTTTTTGAAAAATCGATAGATTAGTTCACAAGTCACTGTCAAAGTTGCCATGGGCTAAATAAGAAATAATCTTCTGGCCCTGTTATTCTCAAACTAACACTTTCCTGACTTTTTTCTTGGACACATCACTTTTCATTTTTTCAGAAGCACACCAGGGCTAGAAGATTGTTTTTTATTTAGCCCATGGTAACTTTGACAGTGAATATCTTGAGAACTAATCATTCAATTTTCAAAAAAAATACGCAGTTGTGACGAGAATCAAAATACCTTTAAAACAAGGTGCCACCTGATCCATCTTCCTTATCTAAAAAAGAGGGGTGAAAGTCACCCCACCCAGGGGGTGCACCCTAGAGACAAACCAATGGGGTCAAAATGCTTCCCCGTTGAATACAAAAATGACGTGTATGAGGTTTTTTTTTAAGTCGACCTTAAAATACGCTAAAACGCCTCTGTTTCGATGTTCGTGAAATACACTGTATATCTAATAAACAGTTTCGGCTTTCCGCGTCTCCATTTTGTGCCGTCCTTCGTCTTTAACCCCCACTCCTGCGCTAAGTCCGAAGTCTCAGTTGCTCGAAGGGGGAATAGTTAAGGAAGCATTGAAAAAGCAAGAGAGAGAGCCATGTATTCACTGAATACTAGGCAATGGAAGAGAATAGAGAGTGTGACGCGCATACGCGCAGTAGAGAGAGAGCCACGTATTCACTGAATACTAGGCAATGAAAGAGAATAGATAGTGGGCGCGCAAACGCGCAGTACAACTCTGATGACACGGAAGTGGAGCAAGAGAGAGAGCGACGTATACACTCAATACGGAGCGATAGAAGTTTCACTTCTACCACGTGTACGGTCCTGCACATGATTTTTTTTTGTCTTCAATGCCTCGGACATCAGTTCAAAGTCGCGCTTGAAATCGAATCTTGTTCGTGAAAAATTTGAAAAAGTAGAGAAGTCGCGAAAGAAAGAAAATTTGATTCTTTCTAGATTATGTGCGTGTTCTAAAGTAATCAAAAGATTTATTTTTCTAGAATAATTTAGTGAATTAAGAGAAAATTGTAAGTACACGTAGAAAAATTGAGACTATAGTATTCAATCATTTATTGCAATGACTATGATGGAAAGTGAATGGTCTATAGAACATGATTGAGCTTTTGAGTGAAAAGACCTTCAAAGATTTTTGCTTAGAATATAATTGGGAAAATATATTGCACATGACTATTGCCAATTATTGTTATATATTTTCTGAAGAATTTGAATTGAAAATGACCGTTGAATATTTTGGGCTGTAACTCAAGAAGATTCAAATAAAATTTGCAATGTTCATTTGAAATAATATTGTTCTGTCTAGTTTATGATTTTTAGTTGAAGATATTTCATACTATGGATTCAGGGCCCCATTAAAGATTTATTTATATTTCCAAAATTTTTAAAAGTAGGATTTGAATATTATGGCTTACTCAAATTAACGATACATGTTGTAGGTTGTTTGATACTGATAGGAGATAATAGATTTGATTTAACTCTGGAGATAGCAAGTAAAAAGACGTATGGCTGTAACGATTGGGAAATTTGGAGTTTTAGCTTTTTGGCTCTGTTTATTTTATAACAATAAAAGTATACCTATAAAAACCTAACCTTGTTTATTTTATTTGCAAATAGACCCCCTCCACAATTTTATTTGTAGCTACCCAAGGAAGTAAACACCGCATCAATAAAACCATTTACCATCTAACTAATTAATACAGTACTTGGGCGGACAGCTACAATACTTTGTTAAATGTATGAAATTCACTTTGCATCAGTACGTATCTATATATATTTTTTGTTTGTTTCAGGTGTTACTCCTTGAAGCAGGAGTAGAAGAACCAGAAGTCGCCGACGTTCCTGCTTTTGCACCGACCATCCTCCGATCGAACATCGATTGGGGTTACAGTACACAACCTTCCGCTCACAGTTGCCTGGCAAGAAGTAACGGACAATGTCGATGGTACAGAGGCAAAGTTATGGGCGGTTCGTCCACGCTTAACTACCTTATCTACATCAGAGGCCATCCACGCGATTATGACGAATGGGAAGAAATGGGTAACCCAGGCTGGTCATACAAGGACGTATTGCCATATTTCATCAAATCGGAGAAAAACAGAAATCCTGAAAAAGTCGATACGCATTACCACGGGTTCGATGGCTATCAGCCAGTTGAATATTTCCCATATCAAGATACAAACACATTGGCTTTAGTCGACGCCTATGAAGAATTGGGCCTTCCTAATATTGATCAGAATACCGAAAAACTTATCGGAACTATGTTATTGCAACATACAACTAAGGATGGTAAGCGTGCAAGTACCAACGTAGCATTTATAAGACCTATAAGGAGAAAACGACCCAATCTCACTGTGCAATCTCAGACACATGTGTACAGAATACTCATCGACCCAAACACGAAACATGCCTATGGAGTTGAGTATTCAAAAAATAATAAACTGCACAGAGCTATTGCAAGAAAAGAAGTGATTTTATCAGCTGGAACCATAAACTCTCCAATACTTCTAATGTTAAGTGGAGTTGGGCCTAGCGACCATCTTCGACAACACGGTATTCAAGTATTAAAGGATTTGCCTGTCGGTTATAACTTACAAGATCACGCTACAATTGATGGAGTAGTAATTGCTCTATCAAATTATTCAGCAACTACAGCCACTGATCAACAAATACAGCAAGATATGTATTTTTACAAGGAAACTCATCGAGGACCTTTATCATCTACAGGCCCGCTACAAGCAAATGCTTTTGTACAAACCAAATATGAAAACGAGCCCGGAAGACCAGATATTCAGTATTCAATTGATGCTACTAATGTGGAAAATTTCTTTACTGATCCTATATTAACAGCTGAAACTGCGGTGTTGCCACTTGCCTATTACAATGGCCTTATGGTAAGGCCTATTTTACTGAACCCAGAAAGTCGAGGAGTGATTCAATTAAATGATACTGATCCCTATAACGGGACTCCTTTGATACATGCTAATACTTTCTATAAGGAAATTGATTTGCTAAGAATTGTAGAGGGTGTTAAACAATCTTTGAATTTATTAAGAACAAAAACTTTACAACAATTGGGTGCGGCATTAGTCACAACCCCATTGCCAGCTTGTGAGCACGTCAAATTCGGCAGCGATGAATACTGGGCATGTATTGCTCAAGCATATACTACGACCATTTTCCATCCGGTAGGCACTTGCAAGATGGGGCCTAAAAATGATCGCGAAGCAGTCGTTTCACCGGAACTTAAAGTGCACGGTATTTCAAATTTAAGAGTGATCGATGCTTCGATAATGCCAAAAATTGTAAGAGGTAATACTAATGCCCCTACAATTATGATTGCCGAAATGGGTAGTGATATGATAAAGAAACATTGGTTGAAGAAGCATCATGATGTTAGTAGTGAGTTCAATAATAATGTGAATTTTGAAAACTTTTTTGATAAATGAACTGATTAGTTACCAATTAAGAAATGTTGTATAAATTTACCGCAAGTGCTTAGAAAACAGACAGACATACATCAGGCACTTCTACAAAACAATGTTATTTTGATTATTGTAAATGAAAAAAATATACAGTAGTGTCGCGATGGCAATAAGGATTTTGGAATACTGCTTCGCTCAGAAGCAGATTTTGATTGATTTTGTTTTTTCCAATTTAAAAGCTTCTATTCACAATGTCCTTAGAATTTGATAATTTAGGTAAGTCTGTATTTACTTGATCCAGATCGTCGCGGCACTACTGTACAACGTATTTATTCACTGGTCTACACCATTTATGTTATGTAGTTTAACTAGACAATTGATAAATTTATTTTTATTATAGAAAATGTTTTTTTTTTTTAGATTTATTATTTACTAAATCATTTTTTTTCTGTGAAAATTAAATCAGACTCTCCCTATGTCTGACGTTTTAATTAATCTTCTAACTGACAAGTTAGCAACTTCTGTAGAAGTTAGACTTCTCGTCAATTTTTTTTTCCCCGATTTTTAATTTCTATTTTGATTGACTCAATCCTGTTGTCAAGCGGTTCAATTTATTTTATTAATGGGGTTTTTGATATTGCCGCAGCATCTGGCAGAAAGCAATTATCGATTCGATTGTTTGCCACATTTATGTAGCGGATAATATTACCCGAAAAAATAGAAGTTCTAGAAATTTGTATTCAGGATAAAAATATTTCGAGCGCCGTTTCTCAAATATAAAATCCGCAAACGCGAATTTCCACTCCTCTCAAGTTTATATTCGTTTTTATTGGTTCGAGAGTGCCGGGCCGTAAAAATTCAATCAATTTTATTCTAGTGATTAGGTGGGTATATTGCGAAAAATAAAAATTCCATTGAAACAAGCGCACTCGAATTATCCAAGCTTCAAAGTCTGTAAGTATAATAAGGAAGAAACCAGTATATGTATTTTCTAATTAACATTTTGCCAAAAGCATGCTCTATATCTACCTAACTAAAGTGTCTTTTGCAAACTGGGTACACAAAATAAACAACCCACTAATAACGCGGGGATCAGTAGCAACAACAATGAGGTAATAGAGAGATAGGTCCTTTGATAGAGCCATATTCGAAACAACTTTGAGCTTACCCTGTTCGCTTTGATGAGATTGACTAAATTTATGTTTATCATTGTACATTGAAGGTTTTGTTCATTTATGTTACTGAGAACTTTTCATATAAGTAGCTGAAGCTTGTGGTATCGAAAACATTGACAATCCTTGAAACTGGTTTGTAGATGCCATACATAAAACTCATTGAGTTGGTGATTTGAAACTTAATTGCGTTTTCCGGAGAGAATTTCCTCATTTTTAGAGGGCAATTTTACAAAATATTATTGCATCAAAGGAAAGCCTCATCTCGTTTTAGCGGAAATGTAATATTCTGCAAACGACAATTAGGTAATTATTTTCCTCGTACTAATAAATTAAAAATATTTATGTACGACAATTTTTGGATAAATATATCACGTGTGTTTTTACTGCAAGTACAATAGGATTTTACGTGACAAACATTCGTTATAAGGAAAGCAAAAACTACCAAGGTAGGTACATTTTGGAATTTAGTTCTTATACCGGAAGATTATAATATTTCAAGCTTTAATACGATGCTTCTAGCGCTCAATAAAGCTTCCGTATGTATAATCCGCTGGTTTATGTTTATTTTATAACTACTGTGCCAGAGAAATTCCATTCCTACATTTTGCGTTATTAGCATAGAGCAATATATCTCAAGAGTAATTGCTTAATATTATCCGTGATCGAAATATTCAATTGGGAGATTTTGTACCTCAAACGCAAAGACAGATATGACTGGAGAAATATTATTTAATTTTGCGTAAAGTGTGGTGTTCCTGTTTTCCTAGTCATACACTGAATAAACTGATGAGGAGCGATATTCATAGTTGAGGATTGATTACGTTCGTGCAACAACTACACAGCTTTAACTTAGTTTACAGCAGTAATTTCATTTATGCTAGTTTAGAGACTTTCTGAAACATCGTGTTTGTTATGTTTTACTTTGAAACTGTTGGAAAAGGTTGTTTTCTAGAAGAAAGGTTATTAATGAGTCTGGTCTTCCAACTCTATCTGGTTCACTGAAATTTTCAATGTCTGTTTCTGGCGAGTCCACTTTAATCCTGACTTTAACGCTGAAGTTGTTACAAATAAAACTTGTTATTTGAACTAACGAGCGTGTAGCCCCTTCATGTGCAAATGAAACCACTCAAAATCCAACAAACATTAATTTTATTTAATATTTGTTCACAATGTAAGTAACAAGTAACAATGTTACTTTCCTTTAGAATTTGACAGTTAACAGCTTGGTCGTTCTGGTGAATCTGACACATGTACCTTTCCAATCCGAATTTCTTCAATAGATGTTTGGGGTTTCACTTTCGTGAACTGGAGCTCTTCGTGTTGTTTCCTGTATCTAGGAAAGAGGATAGATTGCTGGGGTGACGTCACTCCAGCTGATCCAGACTCCAAACAGTGATCTTTATATCGAGTAGGTACCCAGAAAAGAATAAGGCAGTATCAGGTTCACCAAGATTTGGAATATTAAATCCCTGAATTCTGAGTGTCTTGCAAAGAAAAAAACTTAATATGAAATCTCTAGATTCTCCCCCAAATAGACAAAATTTTCCTTTTAAGCCAAGGTAGCTACTATAGGTACTACAAGATAAACTTGAGGGTGAAATCAATCAAATCCAGAATATGTCAAAATTCTAGGCATATTTTAATTAAAACTTTTTTTTAATGAATTTTTTGACCAGTCTGGATTTTTTTTTTTAGAAAATGACACCCTTTTTCAACACTCTTCTCCTCGAGAAGGTAATAATTGAAGGAGTCAAACAGAAGATGGCTATATAGGCCTCTGCCTGGATTCAATAAAGAGTTGATAGGGATGGACACACACATTTGGTTTTCACCGACTCTATTTAGAGCGAATGGTCCAATAATCCCACACTAACAATTGATACTGGAAACCAGAGCAGTACTACCTATTTATTGGCCCAAAAATCTGAATTGACTTACCTCAGAAAAACGTGGCCCCACCAATCGGCACTCACACAAAATGGAAGCCCACAATTAGATAAAAAAATTAAAATATAATATTTATATTTCAAAAGCAGATAAGATAAGATTTATCAGGTAAAAACTCCACAGTGATATGGTAGTATCGTTTATAGCAAAATAAATTAAAAAATTGTAAAGGAGAATCTAGAAATCTAAAGGAAAAAATTGCAAAAAAATAAATTTGACTTGCCTGCCAGAGCACTGCCAGAAGAAGCGGCCGTTTTAGAAACCAAACCCTATAGAAAACCAATCTTGTGTTTTTTATACTTAACTGCATATTAACCAGATCAACCAATCAGAAAACTACACTCAAAAGACCATATTCACTTCACAATGTAAAACCACTTGGAATAAAAGAGAATAAATAAAAATCTACTAGAATTATTTTATTTGTTTACAAATTACAATATTTTAAATTAGGGTTATGTTAAAAACAAAAAACCGCTAATTAATTAGGTCATTAGGCCAAAAATAATCATTTCAGAATCAGAAGTTAGAGAAAGACAGAAATATATCCATTTGCTAAAAGTGAGATAAATATAATTTCTTTCAATGAAAATACAAATGACTGTCGAATACGAAATAATTGAAATCATACTTTGAAAAATAAATCCATCAAGTACTAGATGGCAGTACCTTCATTCTTCCTTTAATAATAGATATTTGCATTTTATGCACATGGTACTGGTATTATATTGAACTTTGTGGATATTTTTAGATTACTTAAATTATGAATAATTATTTTGCTGATTCTGAAATTGCAAAAATACAATTTTATAGTAAAAATAAGAAGAGATGGAACATGTTACCTAAATGATAAATTTATCGTAACAAAGTAACGGAGTAGGTAACTGTAAAATGTCCAGAATCTTCTTTCCTGGCATTGGATAAGTACACATAAAAGTTGTCTACCTCTTAATTACATCATGTGTCGATGTCTAACGCTAAGCTACATTTCAATATCATGCGCCCCATATCTTTCACTTAAAAATGGGCAACTATGGATGCATCTCTAAGTTCGGTAGGTATGCAGGAACTAGGTAACCCTTGCGTCTTGTGTGCATTGAGAAACAAAAAAAGAACAGTTAGTAATTGTTTCAGCCAAGCCAAGCAACAAAATAATAAACCAGAATTATTATCAATTTCTCATTGCGGAAAGTAATACGCGTCGTGCGTTGCACACAGGTTTCCAAAAAAGATTCAACAATTGGTAACAATACAGTCTACAAGGAAACTCGACCCATTGAAGGCCGATTTGTTAATATTTTGGTCCCTTCAGATCCGGATAAATTCCCAGAGTTTCGTTTTCAGTGAACAGTGCAAAAGGTTCAGTGAGTTTAAAGGCATTCGATGTGTGCAAAAGCCCAATAAACAAGGTAAATTATTGCATACATAGCATAGCACAACCGCCTGTTTTACAGGGATGATATAGGAATTGTAGCTTTGGGGGTTGATGGAGAGAAACTCGCTCAAGTAGTATAAAAAGTAGATAGATATACATATATTCGAGAGAGATATGGGCCTCTAATGACAATAGAACCAAAAACCAAATTCATTACGTCAGAATTGATGCGGGGCATGGAAGCAACGTCCAGGATGTAGGAAGCTGTCGTGTGTGCAAAACCCTAACACCTCCAGCCTTCAGCCATCATACCTGAATTCAGACTAATTTAGAGAAATTTTATAGAGTACAGTACATCAAATAGCAAGTTTCAACAGAAAAATCTAAAGTTTATTCTAGTAGTGTCTTGGTATAACTTTTTTTTTTGAATAAAGGTGGGTTCTAACAGAAAATTTAACCTAACTTAACATTTAAACCGAGGGGTAAACCACTAGTGAAAACCATTGTACATTTTTTTGGGAATCACATAGTAATCAATCAGGAATACACGGAAATCACTTAGGAGTCCCCGGGAATAACCTGGGAATCGCTAGGAATCTCCTAGGACTCCATAGGAATGACATAGGAATCCATTGGCAATCGCTGAGAATAATGTGGTAATCGCTGGGAATACCATCTCATTCTAACACAGAAATCGCATATTATACATTTTGAACGATACAGCGTTCCGGTCAGTTGTGTATTTGCCTTTAAGACTAAGTTTTAGGCAACATTGAGTGATAGACAATTTGAAATGTATTCGATGTTCCAAAGAGTTTCCCAATAACTGAGCCAATAACTGAACCCGAGACTACGAAGAGTTTAGAACTTGAAGAAGAAGAAGAACGAGATGAAGATTAGGCCTGTTCTCACCCAAATCACAAACCAGTCTAGAGCGTTTTGGATTGGTGAAAATCGCCAACGACCAGATTTCTGACTA